CACTTTCACCCCCCAACTTAAACTTAACAATTGGTAGCAGACTAACCAGGAAGGTCTTTCAGGGCGTGCCAAGCTTTTTGAAAACGGTCTTTTGCATGATATAGGGGCACATGCGGGAACCACAGAACCATGGTTAATTTTTCCTGAACGGCCCTCTGAATACCAGAAAAGGGGGTCCCTAGTTCGATTCCTCGTGGTGACAAATTTTTGCATTTCGAGTTGACGTTTCAAAATTCGCGCAAAATGGAGTTAGCATGAATAATTAGTACCATATTCATGATTAGGACCGTCAGTAACCCTTACAAATAGACTTTGATTGAAAAACTGGTGAAAAAGTTGTGACACCAAAGTGGGGAGTTTTGTTTCAAACCTGTTCTCCAGTTTTTTGATCAAAGTCTGTTTTCGATCAAAGTTTTTTCTTCCTGGGGATTACTGACGGCCTAATTATGAATGGTACTAATTATTCATGCTAACTCCATTTTGCGCGAATTTTGAACGTCAACTCGAAATGCAAAAATTTGTCGAGGAATCGAACTAGGGACCCCCTTTTCTGGTATTCAGAGGGCCGTTCAGGAAAAATTAACCATGGTTCTGTGGTTCCCGCATGTGCCCCTATATCATGCAAAAGACCGTTTTGAAAAAGCTTGGCACGCCCTGAAAGACCTTCCTGGTAAGTGGTGAAGTATCGTCGATGATTCTGAACTTCTCTTAACTCTATGAAAGTGTTTCAAAAATACATCGGTGTACTAGATAACGGATAAGTAATATTAAGCAGTTGGTAAAACAAAACTGTTTATGGAACGAAACCAACTGACCTGAATCCGGTGTACTGCTGCATGTAAGCACAAGTGCCCACTCTGTAGTCTGGTTGACCCGGTGCCCAGTTGGTGAAGCCGGCCTTGAAATGTTGTATCCAGCAATTAAGTGCATGATGTAATATTGACCAATAGAAGTAGTTTGTGTTATGGTGTAGTGGGCGTCCTGATGTGGACGAATCGAAGCTGGTCAGTCACACGGGATTGCCTTAGAAGCAGGGCAAGATTTTTAATTCGGTGATGTGATATAGTGATCTTGAGGCTCTATGCACATCCTTAGCGCGATAGCTGGCTTGAACATGGGTTGGTCCAGACGGTCTACTAGTCAACCTGCATAGTTGCCGAGGGAGTTAGCTAATCAGCATAATGAATTTCTGTCCATATGCACGGATTAGGTGAAAACAATCAAACTGGAGCTTCATAAGTTTCCCAAACTTCGTGGGGGGGGATGAGAGCGTGAGTAGTCGCGGTGGCGCAAAAGTGATTCAGTCAAAATTATGTTCTTTATGAATAGAACTCTATGAACATTGCATCTCTAGGAGACACTCACTGAATAGACCTCCAGCCAAACACTGTGCCGTCGTACTGTAGACCCAACCAGAATTTTGTCTTTGACGAGAACACTGAAAATAAATACTATAGAGATTGGCAAAATAAATACATACTACTATACTATATAGAGTGGCATTTTCTATATGAGCTTTATTTTGGGTGTGTCAATTTTGTGAGGGAATATCCTTCCATTCTTGGCTCTGAATTGAACCCTTTCCGGGTAATCATGTGTATATGCAAATACGCTCACCACCCATCAAAAAGAAATCCTTGCTGGAGTCTTCATCGAGAACAAGAATAGAATCTTTATCACGGAAACACGTGCGATTTGCCAACATCTGTAAAATGTCCTGTTAGATTATGTGAAGAGGAATCGTTCGTAGCCTCCTCCTTTCTTTGGTCAGGGTTAGCCACTTTAAGAAGAAGGGTCAAATTCATACGAATCAAGTTACGATCGAGAAACGCACCCTTCCCCATTAGAGGCCGAGTTCACGATGAAGAGGCATCCTTTAGAAATCAAGGTGGAAGTGGTCAGTGGCGCAGAGATGAAGAAAAAACTGTGAGAAATGGCCAGAACCCGAGAAATGGACCCTTCTTGCCCGTTGATTTCCGCATTGATGCGACTCTCATCGGTGCTGCCCTCTTCAACGCTAACGCTCTCTCTGCTAAACGGCTAGAGTCAGACGGCGAGAGGGTGGGAGGGCAGCGGTGCGGTTATGGCTTCCTATGCCGCAGGCAGCATACTCCTCCCTGCAAAACGCACATCGTCCCGCACTCAGCAGGTTCGCCTGTTTATCCACTAGGTAGCTTTCTCCTTCATCGGCCTCCAACCTTATCGTCGAATCCTCCTTCAAAAGACCCGTAGGGGTGCATTTAGAGGTCGCATAGCTGCTCTATCATGATCCGCAGAAAGCTCTGAACTTTGTCTCCACCTTTATTGGGTGCGCTGCGAGGTAATCAAGTCGTCTCGAACAAGCTGTATGCTGATGACTTTCTGTAAAGTGCACGCCGCTATCTTGATAGATTCATGCAGCACTCCTTTGAGCTTTTCCCATCAACTTGTTGCACAAGTATCTCTGCACCTTTAGTTGAGCAGGCCTATTAGTGATAGGAGATGTCGCTCACAGAATGGGGCAGCCGTGCGGCGTTCCATTGAGTTTTGGCGCACTTGAACCTGCCATAAGGCCCGTGTCAGACTTTGCGAATCGAGCGATTCGCTAGCGTCCGCGGTCGCGTCGCGGCCAGCGAATCGCTCAATTGGCTGGTACCGCAACGCGACCGCAGACGCTAGCGAATCGCTCGATTCGCAAAGTCTGACATCGGCCTAATAAACACATGCATCACAAGACCGGCGAAAGTCTGGGCAAATTGGGTCATGCCGCGGCGATCCGCACATTTGCGGCGTCTGCGGTACACTTGCGCGGCGACTGACTCGAGCAATACCTCTTCAAATCTCACCACCCTCATCTGGGTGCGTACTACGCCTGTGTCTCCACCTGTTCTCACGCGGAAAGAACGCATCGTGTTGATTATCGCTGCACTGTGACCTAATGACACACACCACCTCACATCACTATCTCGCTCCGGGTTTTCGGAGTTAATCGCCAGCAATGTTTATGTTACGTATCACGAGCAGCGTTCGCCAAGTGCAGCGGGCGCTCCCCGAATTTGACGCTCCATCTCAACAAAGATGCGC